AGGAAAACATCACAACATAAACAAGCTGTCCACAACTAGTGATATTTTTGATGTTTTTTGTACAATCATGGAATTGGAGTACAGTTACTGACAATGTTATTTGCATGTCATTTGACACATCAAGTTTCTCCAGGGTTTGATTTCAGGCTCAATAATGCAGAGAATACAGAAGTGGAAGAAACCTTTTTTTTTTTTTTACACAATTGCAAGTACACATGCCTCACAATTTGACTTCAATCATAGATTATACTATACTCCTTACAAGATGTATAACTTAGGTATCAGCCCTTCAGCTCATTGTCATTGCTGCTCCGAAACTCCAGCAGATGTACTGCATGCCTTCTGGTTATGTCCCACACTCTCAGTGTAATGGCGACAGATAGGAGCTCTAGTTAGATAATGAGAAAATGCATGTATGTGTGAGTGCATGTAATCATAGTAGTAGTAGTACAAAAATACATTCATTAAACAAATATTGTAGAGAATCCTGTTGAATTTTTTTAAAAATCATTTACAGGGTTATTTACAAAAGGGTGAAGAGTTTGGAGAAGGCAGGAGAAGTGAAGAATTTAGGACAAAATAGCTGTTTTCTCTGCTACTTTTTTACCAGTCACTTTCATAAAATGCATTGGGAGACAGTTATCAATTCTGGAAGAGCAGTGCATTTAGACTGGACACATCTATAAAGGTGGCCATACACTCTACAACCATCGCAAGACCTTAGTCTTGCGATGGTTGTACAGGGATTAAAAAAACGTACGATCTGCCTATCTTGGACAGGCAGATCGCACTCTCGATCATCGCAAGCCCGCCCCTCTGAGGGGCGGGCTTCCGATGACCGCAATGCTGAACGGGCAGTGTGCGCGTGCGCACACCGGCCCGTTCGGCATTTGTCTTCCGAGCACCGTTCTAACCAGCCGAGAATCGAACGATTCCCGGCTGGTTTTCGAACATGCTGGTTCGACGGAAGACGTGCGACCGTACAGTAGAAACGGTCGCACGTCTCCGTTCACACTGCTCGATTCTCTTACGATCGCGGGATTTCCCGCGATTCTCGTACGAGAATCGAGCAGTGTATGGGCACCTTTAAACAGTGCATCAGTAATTTAGACACACAGGTCTGTAAGGGCCCAGTCACACTAGATGCAGTGCGTTCCGGCCTGATTCTGGCCAGAACACACTGCCTCGCATTGCGGCCGGCTCACTTCTTAGTGGGGCAGGAGGGGGCGTGGCGGGCCATTCAAGTGAATGGCGCCGTAGCCACGCCCTCCGGCCGCAATTTAATCGCCCGCATGGGATCACAAGTCACATTGTGCCTGCCGTCCGGTGCGATCAAAATGCTGCAAGCACTATTTTGATCGCACCGGACCGGACTGCAGGCACAATGTGCCTTGCGATCCCGTGCGGACAATCGCATTGCGGCCGGAGGGCGTGGCAATGGCGCCATTCACTTGAATGACCTGCCTCTCCCCCTCCTGCCCCACTAAAGAATGAGCCGGCCGCAATGCGAGGCAGTGTGTTCTGGCCAGAATCAGGCCGGAACGCACTGCATCTAGTGTGAATGGGCCCTAAACCTGACGCAGAGATTTCTCTAAACGAGAGGCAGCCTGATTTGTGGCTAATTATGTCACTAATTTGCTTCATAAATATCGCCCATTCTGTTTATAATATATAAAGTGACTAAATGCTCTTGTTTTGATATCAAATAACAGTAAATGATTAAAACAACCCTGTCTTCTCTATAGGGACTGAGGGACTGCATTTTAAAGCGGACCTTCCATGGCCAGTGGCTAAGGATCTGTTACTTAATGCTCTATTGCCGCATAATGATAGATCCTTAGTGAGCTTTGATTTGTAAACAAGCCAATCTCTCATCATCTAAATGTCAGATTCCCATCAACTTCTGTTTGTACACAAAAGGTTTGGGGATCATGCACAGCTCAGTACACAAACTCGGCAAGGTCCTGTGCCAAAACAAAATATCTCTCAGTTACATCATCCCGCCCCGGCCATTCAAGAGACCGAAGACGGTAAACCCAGAAGACTGAGTGAAGATGGCAGCATCAGTGGAGCTCTGACATCACAGCACTGGAGGGGATCGCCTGTAAGATAAGTCACTCTTAATGTGCTAAAATGCTGTGTATACTTACAGTTTTGCTCGGTTCGCACCAAGCCAACGCACATCCCTTCTAGGGACTAAGGATATGTGGGGATTTGGTGTAAACCCAGTTCTCGCAAGTCTTTTGTGATGTGCAGCTGCACAGTGGGGAATGTACCGAGTGCGGGAGATGCGTATGTCAGTTTTGCACTGGTGAACTGGGCTTGCACCAAGCCCCTGCACAACATAAGCACGGACATACAACATAAGACTGCTAGAGATCGCTGTCATTTTAGCCCCTTTACAAATGAATGCTTCCACTACTAGCTGCTAGCGTCTACAAAGAAACAGTAAAAATCCCTCAGCACACTGGAACAGGGTTCCCAAGGGAGAGAAGTAATGGATGAACAACCTTGTGCGTTATCTAAGTGACACCAGGGAACAGAAAAGAGGGGTAATGTATGCACTCACAAAGTCTGGTGAATGTCAGTATATACATCAACTGCTAGGGTGTGACTCAGAACTTTACATGTAAAGTGGAAAGATCTTTGATTTCGCTGGGGCAATCATCAGCTCAGGGAGTAGGTGGAAATGCCAGTCTAAATTTAAAATTTGAGACGAGAAAGCAAAAAAACAGGAGTGCCTGGTAGTGTAACAAACAAATAAAAAGATTTGATGTATAATAAAAGCCTAAAATGCACTCACAGCAGTAGTGGGTATAGATGGCCTTGAACTGTGGAAGGTATGCCGGTTGCCCTTAAGCCAGTCCTGACCAGCAAGTGGAAAGGGGACTATTAACCCAGTGCACCTCCTCAATCATCAAAGTGGGTGGAGCAGGCAGAACTATATATAACAGCGTTGGGGAGATGTGTTGGTGGAGCATCACTACTTATGTGCTGAGTGAACTTCCTCAATCAGTGGATAGCAGAGTAAAGTCAGCCTGTATTCTGTAGAGTCGTCAGTGGTGCGACTTCCCTGTGGCTGTGAGGAATTCCAGGTGTTCACTTCTGGGTCTGTGTAACCGTGACAATGCATTACGAGGCTGTTTTCCTCTTTCTCAAGCCTGGTTGTATTCACTTACATGACAGTTTATAAAGGCTGAAGGGGAGAAAAAGGGGCGGCTCCGTGGTTAGCACTTTTTGCAGCAATGGGGATTCCCGGTTCAAATCCCGTTTAGGACACTGTCTGCAAGGAGTTTGCCTGTTTTCCCTGTACTTGCATCGGTTTCCTCCAGGTACTCCAGTTTCCTTCTACACTCCAAAGACATGCTGGTAGGTTAATTGGCTCTTGTCTAAGGGTCCAGTCACACCATATCCAGTGCGTCCAGGTGCAGTTCACGCCTGGAACGCCCTGGATCGCATACATGAAGCCGGGCCGAGGGGGCGTGTCGGTCACATTCATGTCAATGGCACAACATACACGTGCGATTGCCCGCACCAAAACGTCAGGTACAGGAATGCCGTCCATTCCAGTGAGATCTGAAAAAATGCTGCATGCATATTTGTTCAGATCACACTGCACTGGAACAGAGGGCATTCCGGTACATCTCGTTCCGGTGCGGGCGATCACACAGACACGCCCCTTCCCACCCCAGAACGCAGCCCGGCTTCATGTATGTGATCCAGTGCGTTCCGGGCGTGAACTGCACTCCGATGGACGTGTCTGGGTTTGGTGGTTGCCAGGAGAACGGTACTTGCCTGACTGCATTGTGCCAAGTGTAAAGTTTGGTGGAGGGGGGATTATGGTGTGAGGTTGTTTTTCAGGGGTTGGGCTTGGCCCCTTAGTTCGAGTGAAGGGAACTCTTAAGGCATCAGCATACCAAGACATTTTGGACAATTTCATGCTCCCAACTTTGTGGGAACAGTTTGGGGATGGCCCCTTCCTGTTCCAACATGACTGCGCACCAGTACACAAAGCAAGGTCCATAAAGACATGGATGAGCGAGTTTGGGGTGGAGGAACTTGACTGGCCTGCACAGAGTCCTGACCTCAACCCGATAGAACACCTTTGGGATGAATTAGAGCGGAGACTGGGAACCAGGCCTTCTCCTCCATCATCAGTACACTCCTAAACCTTGTGGACGCCTTCCCAGAAGAGTTGTAGCTGTTATAGTGGCAAAGGGTGGGCCAACTCAATATTGAACCCTATAGACTAAGACTGGGATGCCACTAAAGTTCATGTGCGTATAAAGGTAGGTGTCCCAATACTTTTGACAATATAGTGTATATGCATACAGTGCCCCTCTTTTCAGTCTTTTGGTGTCACTCAGATAACACACAAGGTTGTTGCGCTCCTATCTTGTTGTACCATCCACGGTTCATTGCCACCTATACCCACCACTGCTGTGAGTGCATTTTATGCTTTTAATAGAAATAGAATTGTTTTACTCTTCTGGTACACTGTCAGGCCCGCCTGGTTTTTTTTTTTTGCTTTCTCGTCTCAAATTTTAAATTTAGAGTGATGTTTCCACCTACCTCCTGAGCTGAAGATTGCCCCAACAAAATCAAAAATTTTTCCAGCAGCACCCGCCGCCACACAATACCCCCCCATTCTGCTGCCTCAGGCAGCATAAAGGGTAGGGACAGCCCTGCTCCCAGTTAATATATATGCTGGCTTTTACCTGTCTTTTGTGAGTGCACCCTCTGATGTTAAGGTAGTTGTGCTCCCATCTTGCTCTTTTAGAGCCTACAGAAGGCTGCATGTTACCCTTTGGCACCAAGGATGTAAAGGGATAACTTTAGGTACACCTAAAACTTCATCTTCCCAGCATCACTCCACCCAGCACATAGCTCTGCATTGCCCTGCCAAAGACGGCCCCGCCCAGCGGCAGTCACGTGACTGTGAGCTCACGCACCGTGCACAGAGCAGAGCTAAGGTTACACAGAGAGCTAGGAAGCGGGGAGGGGCGAGGGAGTCTTGTCACAGGCAGTAGAAGGGAGGCGATAGGGAAGACTCGGGCACATTTGCTGCATGTAGCACGGAGGAGACGAGAGTGGAGGTAGGGGGACAGAGCTGTATATAAGGTGCATGTGTGCCATGGAAGGCAGGGAGAATGTGTGCCATGGTGTGACGTATTATTGTCAGCGCTTCCATGTCCATCCTAGGCACTGTTCTATTTCTGGCTTTCTGTTCAGCTGCCGCCTCTAATCACCTGGCAAACCCCCCCCGCACCCCCCCTTCCTTCGCCTGCCTGGAGCAGAGGAATCTTGTCTCCATGATTGACATGGTGCCCTTCGCCCTTGTGTGAAACTTTTACCGTGGGGGGAGCAGTGGTCGCCCGGTGAGCTGTCCGGTGGTCTGGGTACATGGCATGGGGTTGGGAGGAGAGGGTAAAGTCACTGGTGGCAGCAGTGGGCATCTATGAAGTTCACACAACTCCTGTTTACTGATTGGGGATGCTGGAGCTGTCATGGTCTAGTTTATGTTCTGCTTTGTTGTTGTTTTGGAGCATGTGGTGCCCGCAGCTGTTGGGGATATCGGTGACACCACATGTGACAGCGGAGTGTTCTTTAAATGTGGGCAGGCTGGGTGCTGGACAGTGTTTACACAGTGCCCACCCACCTGTATGTAACATGGTCAGAAATAAACAGCTGAACTCTGGGGTAAACAAATAACAAGAGTCCTATGTATTCTTAAATTAATTTCAGGGAGCTTTGTGTATTTCTTCCAGGTCTGTGCAATGTTACCTCTGTACAGGAGCTTCTTCTAATAAAGACCAGTCACTGCTGCTCTGCCTCCTTGTGCTGGGTGACTGGTCTTGGATCCACCCCCTCCTTTTAGGGTCCTGTAGTGGGTGGAGCCTGCCAGGCCCCTCCCACAGTTCGGCTCTCTGCACAGTGATGTGCTACTTTTCCTAGGTAATTTCTGGGTTTGCAAAGTCATTGGGTGCAAACAAAGTGGATCTATATGCTTGGTGGCTATTGAGATATATTTAAATGAACATTTTTATGCCAGAGTTTAACTTTAATCAATGGATATGGTTTATGGATAAATTCCTGTTCATTTTTTTTTTTTCCTCTTGATGCCCCTGACATAGATCTTCAAAAATACAATTCTTTCTTTGAATCGACACCACAGTGTGTGAGCCACTTTTCAGATTTCCCATAGCCAACTCAAGACCTTTCAGTATATTTTATAGACCCCTTAGGACAGGGGTGGGCAAGTCCAGCCCAGCAGCTGTGCTTTAACTTCAAATCCCATCATGCCTCTGGGAGTCATGCCTGTAATTGTCAGGCTTGCAATGACTCATGGGACTTGTAGTTCCACAACAGCTTAAGGGGCCCTTACACCACATCCTGATCATCTCCAGACCAGACCAAATTGTTTACAGACCCAAAATGCATCCTAATCTATCCCTGTGCTATTTCTGGCCTCTGTTCACACCAGCACAGTCCGTTCCAGACCAGAAAAATACTGCTTGTCTTATTTTGTCTGGTTTGGAATGCACTGGAACTGCGGGCTGTTTCACACCATTTTCCAGACCAGATCTGGACCAGAAAATGCCCTAAGGGTCACAGTTGCCCACCGCTGCATTAGGATGCCCATTCATGCAACCTGATCTAAAAATCAGGCCCTGATATACAGATGGCCAAATCTGTATTGATATGGACATTGGGCTTCATAGTCCAATTAGCAGATCATTTCAGAGAGAATAGAAGCAGTCATATGAATATTTCACAAGCAAGTTAAAAGCTCCTTCACATCAATCTGTGCACTGAAACAGGGGCATCTGCTGTGTAGGGGCGATGATTTGCACTGTTTACTTATTTTTTTAGCTTTATTGAAATGTCTGAAAATTGCATTCCATTAATTGGAGACGAGGTGCGTTGTGTTATGAAACAATGCAGCATGTCTGTGCAACGCGTGCTACCTCATTGTAGCCTTGTGGTGTAAACAGGGCACATTGAAAAAAATCATTTTCTATGTGCCCTGGCGTTATTCTGTGCAGATCCACTGATGTGCCATGAACCGGCACTTAGTCCTAGGCCCTGTTTACACTTGTGAATGGGGCCGGATCGATGAGTCTTCCGAGTCCCTCACGAGATCTGCTGTGGGTGGGATGCTCTGTTGTACAGTACAGTGACAGCTGCCGCCGCCTGCAGTTGTTCACAGGCTGTTCACATGCAATTGCAGCATGTGCGATTACATGCCAATAGCTGCAGATGATTGCATCCAGGTAGGATCATCTGCAGGCAATTGCAGCATGTAAGATTACCTGTGGAGAGGCCACAGGTAATACTCATGACTAGAGATTAGCCTGGGCTTGGTTTTGTACCCGCTTAAAACTGTGACTGCCAGCCCAGCCAGTGGTAGAAGGTGCAGCTGGTCATTCCCCACCCCTTTGTGACAGGACACAAACAGAGAAAAAAGAAAAACTGTCAAATTTTTAGGGTTTGATCTGCAACCAGGGCCATTAGACACAGTAGACATTCAGAGGTGGCTTTTCCCTGTACAGGCCGCACATCTTTTCACGGTCATCATTAGAAATAGTCATATAAGCTTAGTTTCTTATTTGGGACCTGTCAACCCCTTCATGACTGAGGCCCTTTTTTCATTTTTTGCACCCATGTTAGGAGAACTATGAGGTGAGTGCTTTTCACTCACCTCATAGTTCTAGCCGACCTGCGACAATGAGACTGTCACTGGTCGGCTCAGTTGATCGGGATGTGAGCGAACACATACCGGGTTCGCTCACTTCTCGATCCTGTCACGGCTCTCTGCCGTGACAGGGGAAGGGCTGGATTCCCCTCTCCCCGCTCAGATCCGCCAGCGCTGACTGGCGGAACGGAGGGGGCGGGTACAGCTGGCTCTGCCTCTAGATAGGCAGAGCCAGCAGGCACTCACGCAGCTGGGCGGATCTCGACATCGATGTCGGGATCCGCTCTGGCTGTGGCGTCTCAGTATACCGCGAGCTGTTGCTCCCTATATACTGAGCTTAGGGTGACGGGAGGACATGGGGAAAGCCCTGACCCAATAGTTCTCTAACTGTGTGGATGGAGGAATCTCCAGCTGGGCCAAGCTTCCGTAATCTTGCTAGTTGGCCCCGCTGGCTCTCAAAACACCTGAACAATGCCTACATCCAATCAGATTGTACAGGTATTTAGAGAGCCAGCGGGGCCGACTAGCAAGGTAGTGAAGCTTGGCTCAGTGGGAGATTCCTCCATCCACACAGTTTAGCGTAGATGGAGGAATCTGTTGCACCTTTTCCATCTGACCATAGAAAATCTGCAGATTATTGTAAGGTGTGTGGCCAGTCTTAAACATATAACGTTACATGATGATTTAAGAGGGGGTATTGTTTGGGGCACCAGTGTGTTCTTACAGGTTTACTAGTGGAAATTGGGCCCTGCCAAAGCTAATACATTTTAACCCCTTCATGACTGAGGCCCTTTTTTCCATTTACTAGGTTATATTGGGGAAAATGACACGTGGTCAGGCAGTACTGCAAGTTACTGCATGTGGCTACCATGCCCTGGGGCAGCCGTCACTAAATGGTGGACCGTGGTCCAGATACAGACCAGGTGGCGGTTCTGTCCGGACTGCGTTCGCCGACTTGCGCTGGATTATGGCTGGCTGACAGTGGATACACTGGCCTCTGAGGTCTGTGCCTCCACAGCCGGCCAAAACTGACTGCAGGACCCACCTCTGCTTTAGTCATTGGTTGCTAGGACCGCTGGCTTCCTAGCAACCAGTGATATCAGGCAGGGCTGTACAGCAACGTAGATCACTTGTCTTAGTCTGCTGTCTGTCTGGGAGCACACCAGCAGTGGTGCGAATGCAGTCTAAACGGCGGACCGTGCTACAGACACGAACGGAGTGACCGACCTGTCTGGACCGCGATTTGGATCTCGGCTCGATGAAAATGTTATTCACTGGACCTTCTTGAATTTTTATTCACTACACTTGCACTATTGTTTTTTATATATTTTTCTGAAATTGTGTTAGCCATGTTGTTCACAGCTCTTTTGATTGTTTAATTGGATGTTGGAGATCAGAACAGAGAGCAGGTCACACTGAGTCAGGTACAGTGGCTTGCAAAAGTATTCACCCCCTTGGCATTTCTCCTATTTTGTTGCATTACCACCTGGAATGAAAATTGATTTTTAGTTGGATTACATGTAGAGGTGCACCGAAATGGAAATTTTAAAACCGAAACGAAACCGAAATAAAAACAAAATGTCAGGCCGAAACCGATACCAAAAATGTTTTTTTATTTTTTCATTTTTTTAAATTTACTTTTAGGGGCTTCGGGGAAATATTAGGGGTCTAAACAGATTCCTGATATTTCCCTTTTTAAAATAGAAAAAGAGATTGAGAACACAGAGTCCTCAATCTCTTTTTCTGTGTCCCCTGTTATCAATGAACAGGAATCCTCTGAGTGTTCCTGTTCATTGATAACATGAGAACATTGTTTGTTTACTATAACCACAATTATGAATGAATGGGGGTGATGTAGATGTGATGTAGATCACTCCCATTCATTCATAATTGAGGATATAGTTAACATACCATATCCTCAATTATGTACACACACTCAGCGATCACTGATTGCTTTTCTCTCTGACACGCTGTCACAGGAGGCTGATCGAGCGGTGTAGAGAGGAAAGCCCAGCCTCCTGTGACAGCGCTGTCTCCGCCCCCACACTTCTGTGCCGGCCTGTGATAGGCGGCCGAGCGGTGTGGGAGGAGAGACACCGGCCGCTCACAGCGCTCTCGTCCTGCAGCGCTCGGCCGGCTGTCACTTTCTTTTCTCCTCGCTGGGACATAGAGCAGAGCCCAGCGGGGAGAAAAGAAAGCAGGGATGCGCCGGTGTATAAGCCGAAACATGGCTCTTTTGGCATTATGCCAAAAGTGCCATTTTCGGCCGATATGTTTCGGCGGCCGATATATCGGTGCATCCCTAATTACATGTATCTTCTACTCTGACTGCCTTTAGGCGATCTCTAAAGACCCATCTCTTCAGGGAACCCAATCCCACCTCAACCTAACCACTGAACT